TGTCAAGTTGTCGCAAAAAGTCAACAGCTAGAACATTTTCTTTGGTAAATAGTTCACACGTCTTATTTTTCTTGTATTCTTAGCGAATTTCAGTCTTCTTTCTCGCTCTTTTCCTGCTAATGATTCTAATCGATCGAATCCATGTATGTTGAATACATGATGATTTCAAGAAGTGAATTGAACTTACTTTACTGAAACTAATTTAAATTCCAACGAATATTTTCATTTTCGACATGAGGATTAGTACACCTCAGTCAGGAAACCAAATGGTAAAATGGCATTAAAATGCCTAAAAATATACATAATTATGATGATGTAAAACTGTCACAAAAAATGCCTCCAAATGGTTTTCATGTAATGCATTAAAATAATTATTTTTGATTAAGTAAAAATAGTTAAAAATATAAGAAAATAATGTCAACAAAACAAATCATTTTTTTGCATCATTTCTCACTGATTTTGTTGATAGGATAATACCGATAAATTTCAGATAGTTGAATACTGTTCAATTAATGTACTTCAATTCTAATTGTTTATTGCAATTTAAGCGACGTTTCTTTCACNGACTTTTTCCGTCGTAAATTATAGTGTCGTGGGTTCCAGCAAGAAAATGTGTCGTACTTTTATGTGTCATATTTTTAACCGTTCTGTACATATATGACGAGTGTTCATTCACCGATTTTGTTCTGTGTGTATGTCTGTATATAATCGATCTGAACTATCACATGAAAATCATAAGTTTTCGTGCACCATTCTATATAATATATTTCTCGATTATATATTTCTTGTAAATATTTTGAGAAATAATGACCTCACCTATATAGAGGTCTATCTGACAACAGTCCGACCGAGATCTGACTGGTTTACATTGGTGTATCAAACACTGATGTTAATTGTACTAATTAAATATTGATAGATATAATACACGAAAGAAAAAAATTATGGATACGGTGAAACCTAGATTCGAACAGTAATTTCAGAATGTGTCGGATGTGTCGTGAGATAATGTGTCGTACGCTTGCTGGAGAAAATGTGTCGCACCGAGCACCTCATGTCGTGCTCGAATATGTCGTGGAATGTGTTGTGAATCACGACACATCCGACACATTTTAACTTAGAGTGTTGTTCTTCGAGAATATCTTTTCAAAATTGTTCTCTTTCATGAAACATTACAAAGATCATTTTCGACAAAAAAAGAATGGTCACTTGAATTGCAATGCCCGATTAAGATTGAAACAGATTTGTCGGATGGTATTTACCTATGTCACATTTATCGTTTTGGATTTTTTCTGCTGCTCTTTCTTTTGATCGATTAAGCCGTACCATAACTTTGTTTGTTTTGAGACTTTTATTACGAGATGGCGATTTGTGTGGAAAGTAAATAAATCTTATTTAAATCATATGTAGTACATGTCGATACATAGTGTATACTAACATATTACTCATAGAAGTTTTCGTCTGAATGTTATTTCTCATTAAATTAAAAGTAATTGGATATTAGTTTTCTTGTTCAGAGTAAAATAAACAAGACTATGAGTGACAGTCAATTGTCCTGACATTTCACGAATAATCTAGGGTAAAGAAATATCTTGCGTGAAGAAAAAAAATCAGAGAAAGTCTAAAAAAATTCTTAATGGAAAATTAGATCTCTTAATTATTATCTTTTTAGACTCGTGAAAGATGTTCCTGATTATATCGAATAGAAGACAACGATAAATTACAATTGAAACATCACTCTTTCAAATGAATTGCACTTCTTCTCTTTTCTTCCTTTCGTAATTACAGCTTTGTTCTTTGTTCTGAGACAAAGCGTATATTTGACATAATAAAAATTACTCAATCGAATAGAACTGAATATGGCAAACAGAATAGTAGTTAGATAAATAAACAATGCCAAACAGATCGTATTGATATGATATTATTAGATATTTATATAGTTAAATACATGATTCAAATAAAAGAATTTCGATTACTGTACGATAGTACTTGTTTTATATTTACGCCAAGTTCCTTTTCTTATTCATAAAAATTAATGACATAGACTACAAATTTTGATTTTTGACTAATAACTTCAAATGTATTTCTGTGATTTAATCAATATTTTCAACAATAGTCACATGAAATATAGTAATACCTTAGTGAGAAGAAATTGTGATCGATTTAAATTAACTTCACTTGCATTAAATTACCAGTGAATATAGACGAATATATGATACTTATGATCGTGCCTGAATACATCCACATCTTTCTCTCAATTTCTTCTCTGAAGTTATTGTTCTTCCATAAGAACAATATAAATATTAAAGTAAACAATAGAATCTTTCATTACACGGTCAATCTCTGTATTTCTACATGTTTTTTTTGACGATTCGTCTTTCTTTGCAATTCATTAAAGTATGGGTAATTATTTAAGATATAGAAGAAATAAAACATAAACATGTTACGATTAGTATATAGAATGTTCAGTAAGTCACTAGAGTTAGAAAAATTTGAATATCTCGGTTACGGTTCGACCAAATAAACTCTTTTTTAACCAAGGATGGAGCGAATTTCACACTCCAAATCCACACGAACAAGGTAAGTGAGAGCCTTGGTTAAGTATCACTATCGACCTTAATCGGAAAATTTTACCTTTTTACACATCACGAGAAAAAAAATAATATATTCAACAGAACTTCTCACCACCCTTGTTCGTATAAGCTTGGAATGTGAACATGCCGCTATCTTTGGTTAAAAAATCAGATGGTCTGATCGAGCCGTAATGGAGTTATTCAAAATTTTCTAACTCTAGTGACTTTCTGGACACCCCATATTCAATAGTTCTTATCACTAATCTGAAATAAACGAATATTTTTATTAGAAAGATTGAGCGCATACATTATTCTGTACGGACAAAATATAAAACAAAATAATGAAAACAGTGAGACAGCATGCAGTCACAGATAATGTATTCATAGTGCAATAAAAAGAGAAAAAAATTCATATATGAAAATCCATATTCTGAATTGACCTTTTCTTTGAAACATTATCGATATTATCGTTTTTGTTTATGAAGCTAACATCCACAACTGAGAAAAAAAATAGAAATCCTAATTGAAGAGTAAAACTGCAATGAAGTTGAAGATTGGACGATTTATCTAAAAATTAATTCATGATAAAAAAATTCTAATCGAGAACATATTTATTCTAATAAAAACACATCTGCAACAAATTACTTCTTATGAGAAAGATGTTTTGATCTAAACAGTCTGAAATAATCATTAATCATTCTGATTTATCGTCGATTTAGAAAATGTCATTCCTTATACGATAATCATGATAAGATGTAATTTCATTGTTGATTTTTCTACTAGATACAATTAATCACAATTTTCATGACATAAGTATGCTTCGAACTGAAAAGGATCAATAACAAGATTCAAAATTATCCTTTAGGACTTATTCTTCTCACAAATAGGATTTATCGAATTTTTTGACACGGAGTTTATCAATCTAATCACTTCATACTTACGAATAGCTTCTGCATCATGAGTCTCCTCGAAGATGATGAATGTCGACGAAAAGTTCCTTGTGTCATTTCATATTAAAAATGAAAGATCTTCTCACTTTTAGTAGAAATTCATGCAAAAAATTATCAGAACTAAATGACAGCATATTCACAGATCAAAATCTTCATGTATGAACATTCAGATAAAGTGATATCACAGTGAAATACTTTTGAGATAAGTTCTCTCTTTTGTGTCCCTCTTGAATTTAGGTTGATAGTGCTTCTATTTTGCGACATTTAAGAGACAAAAAACCACTCCTCCTTTTACCTCTTTTTCTATGAACTACTCAGATACAGATGAAATCTTCTCACTATCTCAAAAAATACTTCTTTCCAGAAATCTCAAACTAAGAAAAATATTTCAGGCTTCGACTACGAAGAAGCAAAAGAATGTCTTATTCATGAGCAACGGCAATGATGATTTTCTTTTCTTTTTCCTTGTTTATTGCAGGGATTCCTAATATTCCAGTTCATGCAACATGGAACCAGAATGGAGAGATAGTTGCTGGAGGTAATGGATCTGGCAATGCCACAAATGAACTTTGGAGCCCTTTTGGTCTCTACATTGATGATGATCAAACAATAGTCATCGCTGACCACGACAATAATCGTATCATTCAACGGAAGATGGGCCATACAGATGCACGAATTGTAGCTGGGGGTAATGGCGAAGGCAATGGACCAAATCAATTGCATAATCCAACTGACGTATTGATCGCTAAACAAACAGATAGTCTCATTATTTGTGATCGATCGAATCGACGAGTTGTACAATGGTCTCGTTGTAATGGTACAACTCAAGGAAAAATCCTCATCGGTAATATCAGTTGTTATGGGTTGGCCACGGATGATCAGAGATATCTCTATGTCTCTGACACCAAAAAACATGAAGTAATACGATATCAAATAACAAACGAGAATGGAACTCTCGTTGCTGATGGCAATGGCACCGTTGCTGGTGGCAATGGTAGCGGCGCTGGTCCCAATCAACTCAACACGCCAGCCTTCATCTTTGTCGATCAAGAACAGACTATCTACGTATCAGACAGAGGCAATCGTCGTGTGATGAAATGCAATAAAGATGTAAAACAAGAAATTTTTGTTCCTGAAGATGAAGACAATGAGAATGCTCTGACAAAATTGTCGAATCCTCAAGGACTGTTCGTCGATACGTTGGGTACCATCTATGTGGCAGATGAAGGAAATCATAAAGTGATGCGTTGGTCTAATGGAACGAAACAAGTCACTGTCATTGTGAGTGGAAATGCTAAAGAAGAAGAAGAACACCAGTTGAAGCGTCCCATGGGTCTGTCCTTCGATCGAGATGGCAATCTCTATGTCGTTGACGGTGGTTCTAATGGAACTAATAGTGTTAAGCGTTTTGACATCGAAAAAACTCATTGCCAGTGATTTGGCTTTTCTTTCCTTTAACTTCAAAATAAATACATGGTCATTGATTGGGTGTGCGCGTGTGTGGGTGCTGGTACGGATGATTAATCAAATGAAATACTCACACCCACACCGCAAATTTGAATTCTAGGCAAAATTGTTTTTTTTTGTGACGTATGTGAAGTAAGCCCGGGATTCGCGTAAATCCTGCCCCGATTCGCCCAGGGACTTCTTCCAAACCTCCTATTCTTGTTCCAAATAGAACTCGATGAGCCCTATCCAATGGTAAAATCAGATTTTCGATATCTCAAACTATGCGGGAGTAAAATCCCAAATACGAGTTTTGGGCTAAAACCTTTTTCGTAAATCCTGCCCCGATTCGCCCAGGAACTTGTTTCAGATGTCCTGCTCTTCTTCCAGGTAGAATTCGGTGAGCTCTTTCTAATGAGAACAAGAAACGTAGACTAAAAAGCAATTTCTGCGCGAATCGGGGCAAGAATTACGAAAAAAGTTTTTGGCGAAAACGGGTTTTGGGGTTTTTACTTCGCGATAGCTTCAGCTATCGAAAATCTAATTAAACCGTTGGATAGAGCTTATCGAGTTCTACTTGAAGAAAGAATAGACGATCTGGAACAAATTCCTGAGCGAATCGGGGCAGGATTTACAGAATCAGTTGTTTGGATTGTATGGGAAAAAACCGTCTACTCGGAACAAGAATAGGAGGTTTGGAAGACGTTCCTGGGCGAATCGGGGCAGGATTTACGCGAATCTGGGACTAACTTCACCTACGTTTTTTTTGGCACTTCTTTCAATTTCAATTTTGCCGAGACTGAATTGATCAACTTTTATCTTCTTTATTTTACATTTTTTCATTACGAGTTTTTTCGTAATACAAATTCAGTGAACGCTAACTAACTTTCATTATCTTTTTCTGCAACATCAACAATGTCAATAAAAGAAGCAATCTCTTTACATAATAATAAGAATAATACTAATGATGACTTAGAACGTGAAAAACTTTATGAACTAGCTAAAAAAATATTGATGCAGTAAATCCGAAATTTTGTATTAAGGCTGTTATTACTCGTGATCAAAGTGAAAAAATTATCAATGATCATAAAACTAACTATCTAGTGAAAATGCTTCAGAACGTTTTACTTGGTGCTGCAAACAAACATTCATGCTTCGTCTCATAGGCGATCATCAAATTTCGTGTGATTTTAAAGACGCTAAGCCTGTTCTGTTATATGCAGATATGTACGATGTCTATCAAACAAGTCATCAACAAATTGATCATGGTGGTCAAGACAAGTGTCTCGAAAATATTTCAAAAAATTATAGTTAGGCACATCGTTCATCGTTACAAATATTTATCGCCCAATGCGTAGCATGCAGGGAGGAAAAAACTCATTCATGGGCATTCGAATGGATGAGAATGACTGGAATGGATGGGAATGGAAGAGAATGGAAGGAAATGGATGAGAATGGGAAGGAATGAATGAGAATGGACGAGAATGAAGGAGAATGGATCGGAATAATAAGAGAAATTCAGAAGTAATTTCATGTAGTACAGAAATAGCTATATTAACTATTGAAATGTTAAGAGCATTTTACTTAGTAAATATGTTCAAACATTTTGTGTACGTAATAAATCTTTTTAACTTATTAAATACCATTACTTAATCTAGAAATATGGGTGTGTAATCAATTGAAAACAAATCAATCTATATTTTTTAAATAATATAAATTAATCTGCTACTCTCAGCTTTTACTTTTCAGTAATCGATTATTATGTCGATATAAAATATTATTTTAAATTTAATTTAATATGTGCTCTTGAATTAAATTATATAAGAAATAATGCAGATTTTATTTAACGCCGACGCGTTTCGTGTTAAAGTTTATTTGAAAATGAAAACACTCTTCAGGGCTCTGCATTATATAAAAAAGCACAAATAAAATAGCAATTAATATAAGAATATATACAGATTTAGATAGAAGTTTAAAGACAAGTACCAAATAAAATAAAATAGAATAATTAAGTAACAGAAAATCAGATAAAACCAAAATTAAGTACCAAGTAAAATAAAATAGAATAATTAAATAACAGAGAACGAGATAAAACCAAAATTAAAAAATAATAAATTAAGTAAGAAAAATTAAATAAGAAAAGAAGAAAAAAGTAGAAAAAATAAGAAAAAAATGGAGAAAATAACAAAAAACCAAATAAAATGTAAAATTAAATAGAAATCGAATCAATATTTAAATTCAAAAGAAAGAAGGATTTGGTAAATGGAGAATAAGGAAAATTTTAAAATTGAAATAACAGAAAGTGGCGATGTATTTTTCAATTTAAATGTATATTTCAATTTAAATGGAAAAGTTCTAGTAGTTTATGTTTTATTCGAGTATCATTGGGTACTAGCGCCATTTTTGTATCTTTGATTATGGTTGGCGGAAGCTGTTGGCCTGTTGTATAATATATTGGATTCTCCATAATTCATGGATATATTCAAAATATTTTAATTTATACATGTATTAGATTTTTAATTTGTTTTATTAATAAAATAACATTTTGCAATATTTATTTTCGAATATAATCGATTTTTGCTTTAGCGCTTTATCTTTGGTTTATTGACAAAACAATGTAACCTTTAAATAAAGTAATTGTAAAAATAATTTTGTACAATATTTATTTCCTTTTAAATAAAATAATTTTTAATAAAATAATTTTTAACAATTTTGTACGATGTTTATTTCTTTGAACAATTGATTCTTTTTACTTAATTAATGTATTTATTTATAAATACAATTAATTTTATAAATGTTTAATTTTATAAATGTTTATGTAATTTCCGATTTTATAATAATATCGATGCCTTTTATTATTTAAAATATTACTATTTATTTTTGAAGTCTAAAATTTTATTATTAAATCAGCTCTTTTGAAGAAAATCGGATGATTTAAATATTGACTTATTTTAAAGATAGCATTGTTATTAAATTTTTATTTTTATTTTTTCTGTATTTTCTGAAAAGGTTTATTTTAATTTTTAAATTAATTGTTGAAAAACTATAACTAATTTGTTAATTGTTATAATTTTGATAAATACATTTAATAGAATTAACTTAATCAACGATATTTATATATATATATATATATAATAA